TTGTTTCCATTAAATAAGTATTTTAAACGATTTGATTAGTTATAAACAAACTAGAATATTTTTATCCTCATAATACGATCCTCCAAGATTATGCTAAAACAAATAATGATCCTCCAAGATTTYCTAAACTACTTATATTTCGTTGCATAGGCAAATATTTCATGAATCTAAACTTTTAAAAATTTAAATTCATATTAAAAAAATACAAATCAATATACCTCAATATAATTCTTTCGGATTCTGTTTTTTTTTCATTTGTTTCAGTTACTAACTTACTTATTTTTAGGATGATTTTAAATCAAATACAATCTTTTTATTCTCATACAATTTGAAAACTCTCTACACTCAACCCCTTATATATACCTTGTAATTCTTCTCACCCATTTCAATCATAACTTTTACTTTTCATGGGTTTTTCTATAATTGGAATAGTTTTTATTGATTCAAGCTACTATAGTTTTGTTATTGCTTAATTATATTATTGTTTTGCTCCAACTTTTACGATATAGCTATATATTATACTATAATCAATGCATTTAATTTTATTTCATAATTGATCTTCAGTTAATCATTTCTAGAGGAACYCATGCTACTTTGCATCTTAAGTTTTGTTTTGCTTTGTTGTTTAATTTGTAACTCAATCTCAAAATTTAATTCGTTTCAACTTATTTTTTTTCTTCAGATATATTAATGGCGAGAAAAATTGTGTCACATAGAAATATTGTGTTTCTCTTATTAAAATGTTTTTATATTATTTGTAGAAAGTGAAAAATTAAGATTCTTACATTTGATTCAAATAATCATGTTATGATTTATTAAAATGTTATTATTTAACTTTATTGTTGATTAGTTCGAGAGTTGTTCTAAAACTCATAAATTTTGTGTAGTTTTTTTTTTTAATGATGTACATAATTTCCGAAAGATTAAAAATAAAATTTTCATAGAGTTTTGGAGAAATCCTCTTCGTATTAAAAAAGAAAAATATTATTATTTAATTGGTTAAATATTTTAATTTAGTTGGTTTAAAATTATGACATGTCTTTGAATGAAATATGATATGGTATTTAAATCATTGAATCAATATTATTTAATTGCATTTGATTTTTAAAGTAGCAAGAGTGCCATATATTTTATATAATCATTTTGCCTTTTATTATTCCATACAAGACTTTTTGATGATTTTGATATAAATCAATTATGATTTATATCATATTTTATCTACATGTTAGTTGTTTCAACATCTAACTAATTAACTTAGGTATATTTGAATTCATAAATACAATATCTATATTATTTTTTTGTCGGCATATCTATGATTTTTTTATATTCGACTACGTACATTCGACTTCCTAAGTAAGAAGTTTGTAATTCACTAAATTATTATTATATTTCATATGATTCATATCCCTTGAGTATTATCTCATTTCTCAACATTTATTTAACATCATTGTTTGAAGTTACGATTAGTTTCGTATGGATCGGTCTTGATTTCGGTTCATGCTTGAGATCATAGGACTTTGTAGTCTTCTTCTTCTCCTAGCAGGCTATTCCACAATGTTAATGTTTCTATACTCTAGGGATATTTATCAATCCCATGTGCATTACCTAGGAAGTAGAAAAAATAATCATTTCATTTGGTTTTATATTTTTTCGTTTGAAATATATTTATCCCCTCTATTTGTCGAAACATCTATTTTTTTAATACATATTATTTCATTAGTTGCATATAAACTAATAATTATATATGTTTAATTTTATATAGATGATAAAATCACATTAGTAAATATTAATACTAACTTATTTTTAAAAAAAATTCATACCCGCACACGGTGCGAGTCGGTTATCTAGTACACAATAATGCAA